ACTAAATCCTGGAATATTCATGCATTTTCTTTATTAGTAGAATTTCAAGCACTTTTGTCCTTCAACAGCAGTGGTTCACTTGAACAGCATATTATTTTTTGCAAGAGATTTTTTATGATTGAGATTTAATATTGAGGCCTTAGTCAGACATTGCAACCTTTTTCATTTTACTTGACATAGGAGATATTTGAAGAAAAACCTTAGTTTTTATTCTGGGTTCCTTTTATTCATTTTGTTTGTTTGTTCATAAAAAAATTCTTATTCTATTCATTGCATGTTTCTTTTTTATTAATTTTTGGGAAGTTTTTGAGGAGTTGACAAAGCTTTGGCATGTACTTCTGCATATTGCTTTCTGTTTTTAGCTATTTATAGTTTTGCTGTAAACATTTATTCTTTGACCTTTTCATTTTTTTTTGTTTTATAGAATTTTCTCAAATCTTCATGTTTCCTTGTATTTTGAATCATTTTTAATCAGTGGGAAGTGAATTATGTGAATCGTAAAGTAATTATCAAAGCACTTGCTTTTATTAGGAGTGGAATATTCTTCCCCCCTGTTGAGGCTGTAAAAGCTGACATCCCCCCTGCAAATGCTAAAGCTATTATTCTTGTCTAAGGAGGAATTATCTGTAGTATTTTTCAAGATCTCTGAATAATGGACACATATCTTTTTAATTAATAATCTGACATTTTTTCTCTTTAACTTACAGTATTGGCATTCCAGATATTTTGTATCAGCACTAGGGGCAAAATAAATTAGATCTGTTCATTATTTTAAGGCTTATTATGGATTTTTAAATTTTGCACTTCTAGATTTTTTGTTTGTGATTTTGTTTATTCAATTTTCATTAGTTTCATTATTATTATTCTTCATATACATACTTCTGCTGAAATTTGTAACATTATTGGCTTGAATATTTATGTGTATATTTTGTTTCATATAGTCAGAAGGAAAAGGAATGATTTTTACTTCTTTTTTTTGTGGTTGCTTATGTGATGAATTTACTAGATTGTATCAAAATTTTGATTATTTTGCATATAGAGTTTAAACATTTCATTATTCAGGTGTAATTTTGTGAACTGTACTTTTTCCTGCTGGGCAAGTTCTGTGCATGACTAAATAATATTTTTCTTTTTTATGGTTAATATCTTTGTACATTTTTTTATTTGTGCCTGTGTGGGATGCTCATGTGGTCTGGTGTTGATAGCACTTTTGATTAATATTGGTGGTGATTTCATCATTTTGTTTTGTGCTTGATAATTTTGATTCATTTCATTTCCTATTGCTCTTATTTCTTGTGGTTTCTTTGAAGAGTGACAATTTTTCTTTGTATGAGCCATTTTGTTTTCTCATGTGGTCACTGAAATAACTGGTATACCATCCATATTGTTTTTCTGGGTTTTGTTTCCATTCTTTTAATGTGTTTTTTGTGAGGACACCTGATGCAACTTTTGCATGAATGTAACTTTCTAAATTTGATATTATAGAGCCTTGGTTAAGGTGGTCTAGGACAGTTGGCCATATTTTGTCATGTGCTGTTTGAAGGTCTACATGTAAGTTCACTAGAATTGCCATTTGCTTTTTTACTTCTTCAAGATATGCAGCGCATTCTTCGTATGTCTCATCTGGCTGTGGCAGATTTTCTATTTCCTGAAAGATTTGTCTTATTTGCTGTGATACATTTCCATATGTATCAAATAGTATGCGCAAGGCCTCTAGATATCCAGTTTCATCGTTTCTGCCTCTGTAGTGTTTAATTTTTTGGAGTGCTTCTCCATCTAGATGCATCATCAATAGTTGTATACGTTGAATTGGATTTAGTTGTTCTTTGGGAGCTTCATGTATTATTTTGAATTGGGCCCATACTTGGTCAAATGTGACTTTGCCATCCATTGATCCCTCAAATTTAAAATCTTTGACATATGTTTTTTCATAATGTTTGATATATGTCTGTTGCTGGTCATTAGGAAATTCAATTCTAGACCCTTTTCCATATCTGTCTAATTCACTTCTAAGTGACCCTTTTAATTGATCCAGATCAATTCCAAATTCTTTTTCTAGAGATAATATTGTTTGTGGTTCTATATCTATTTCTGTTTCTAAATGTTGATTTTGCATTTTATGTATAGATTCTTTTTGCAGAATTTTTTCAGGCTCTGTATTTTTGATTTTTTCAGTTTTTGTATTTTGATTTCTTGCATTTTCTTTTTTCTCTTGTATTGTGTTTTGATGGTTTTCATTTTGTATCTTTTTGGCAGTATTTATTGTGTTTAATGTTTTTATTTTTTGTATTATTGTTGGATTTATTTCTGGTATCTGTATTGTTAGAATTTCCATTTTATCTGGACGAAGTACAGTCCAATTTTGTATTAATTCATCAGTTTGTCTTATAATAATTTTTTGCATTTTTCTTTGTAAGATCTTGATTTGCTCAGTATCATTCTTTTCAAACATGGATATATCAAGTGATATAAATTCCGTTGTTATCTCTATGAAATCTTGCAAAATCTCTGTAAATATTTCTTCTTGATTTTCTGGATCAAAGTCAAGAAATGTTCTGTCTGCTGCACGAATACCTCTTACTATTTTAAAGAGTAGTGAAATGATGGACACTTTTTGCTGTTGTATATATTCAGGTTTGTAATAATTTTTAAATTCTTTTGAGTCTTGATTGTGGGAGTGCTCAGATTTTTTATCTTCTATAGGAAAGGGTTCTGGGTCATTTAAATCATCTTTTAAATTTTCTCTTTCTGAATGAGGTTCAGAATTGAATTCTATATTGACAGTGGAAGGCTTACTTGTGGGAGTTTGAATTTTTTCCATATTTTCTTCATTTTTAGGATTTTCACAATTTTTGATTACTTTGGGTCTCCCTCTTTCAATTATTTTTTCAGGGGGAAGATTTGGACAGGGGTTCAGACCTGGTTGATGTTGATTGATGTCTTCCTGATGACAAGCAGGTGCACGCCGTTTGATACCTTTTCCGCGAACCATTTTTAGCCCAAAATTTTCAATTTTACCCAAATATTTTAATTTCCGCGCAAATTCAATCAGGGGGTTTGGGAACACAAACTCAAGTGAAGATTTTTGGGAAGGAGAGGCTTTTCTAAACTCAGGTAAAGATCGAAATTTGATTTGAAGCAAGAATTATTTTTTTTTTTTTTTTTTTTTTTTTTTTTTTTTTTTTTTTTTTTTTTTTTTTAGTGGAGGTGTATCAGTAACATTTTTCTCAGTTTTTTGTTTTTTGGCTGGTTTTATCGTGACTGTAAATATTTTTTGGGGGGAGAAAAGTTTAAGTTCGATGACTGATTTTTTTCTTCTTTTTTTTCGGTCGCGTCACTGCGATGATTTGAAAATCCGGTTGACAAGTAAACTTTTCTGTAGAATGATTCCCTGCAAACCTTTTCATGCGTTTTTTTTTTAAGCTTGGAAACTAGTGCGATGATATATACTTTTCAAGCGTCCACATTTTTTTATCGTTCTCTGTTTTGAAAGAGGTGAATAATTTTGAATTTTTAATGTTCAGTTCTAAATTCAATTTGTTTTATTATAAGAAATTCGACCAAACTTTCGTCGTTCCGGAGAATTTCTTCATGAAACAGAAAAATGTGCTATGATGTTGTTTTTAGTTGAATTGCATATTTCAGTCTTGGGCTTTGTTTTTGAAATCAATATTTTAATTTGGAAGGAATTTTCATTTCTTGTATGATTTGAAAATAATAATAACACCGTGGAAAGCGAATTCGGAGGCGAAAATCTGAATATACAGTTTTTGTTTTATTATAATTTTTGCACCATCATTGTTTGCTAAAAACATTTCGCACCTTAATTTTAGTCCGTCATGTTGTTGCCACTTTCCACCTCTACTAGTTTTTTATTGGAATTTAGATTAACTTATACTGTATAATCAGGCGAAGTTAGTGGAATCGTAAATAAAAGTGCAGCGTTAGAACTATTAGATTTTTTATTCATTTAATTAATCAAACAGTACTGGATTATTAATGAAAGTTTTTTTTTCAAGATACGCATTTCCAAAAAAAATGTTCTTGCTAAAATCAAGGAGGAAAATTCAAGTTTCCCAAGAAGAAAACTTATTTTTCTGAATCTTGAAATTTTTTCAAATCACCCAAGTTTTACTGTAGACGCAATCATATTAATTTTCCTCAAAGATGAGCCTGAAGTGAAATTAATTCCCTTGAGGAAAAATCTCGATAAATCTGAACACTTCCAGATGTAATTCTGAATCTTGTTGCTGTCAGATCATCGACTTCTTGCTAAAGGCGCAGTCACATGATTTTTCAACCTGAAGGAACAATTTTTTAAATGAGGAAAATATCTTGATAAACCTCTGGGATTTCCTGGTTTATTTCTGGATCTCGACGTTTCGAGATGGCCGAGGTTTTTAATATAAATAGGACGCCAATATTACCTCATTTCTTTTCGCAAAAAGAAGCTTGAAGAGAAAAGTTCTTTTTTTGCATGAAAGATCTCGATTAACCCGAAGACTTCCAAGTGCATTTCTGAAATCTAATAATTTCAGATTTTTGATGGTTTTACGAGAGACGCAGTCACACAATTTCTCCAACAAAAAAAGGAAGCCCTGAAGAAAATTGAGTTTCTATGAGGAGTATCTCCATAAAACACACGACTTCAAGGTGTATTTGTGAATCTTGATTACTTCAGATCATGAAATTTGGCTCAAAAACCGCTGAAATTCGTGTAAATGTCCTTGCTGCGAATATTGTGAAAATCTTGACATTATTCCAAATTTTATTTTTCAAAATCTATGAGATCTCGTGACATTCTCAGCAGAGTTCGAGTCTGTTTTCTTTTCTCTTTATTTTCATGTTTCTTTTTTATTTAATTATTTTTTCTCGTCGGGTGAACTATGGGGAGCTATGAAATTATTAAGGATCTCTGACATTTTCAACAGGGTTCGAGCGTATTTAGTTTTCACTTTGTACTCATGTTTTATTTTTATTTTTAATTTTTTTATCATCAGGTGAACTATGGGGAGGTCCATTGCCGTCCAAGTTCAAGCTGGAACAAATCCACGCGCATTGGGGCTGTACGGAGAACGAAGGCTCGGAGCACACAGTGGACGGTGTTGCATACCCCGGAGAGGTTAATGAACACTCCTGACCTTGCCTCTTCCTTTTTGTTTTGTTGTTGTTGTTGTTGGTGCAATAGTTGGCGCCGAAATTAATCCACCTCTTTCTTCTTCCTCTTCTTCCTTGCTTTTGATGCCTTTCGGTCAATGTCGTTCCATATACTGTATAGAAGCATCCAGATGCAGAAAAGGGGGGAAGGGGGCTAATCAATGCCAAGGGGGATATTGATGAGTTTTCAGATTGCATCCGGGCGCGTGTGGTACTGGGAAGTTTTTTTTTTTTAGTTGTAAATAAGAAAATGACATTCTTTTTTATTAAGGGATGGTTCATTTGGGTAATGTGAAAGCCAGAGATGAGGATATGTTTTTTTTTCTTGAATACAGAGTGAACTGGACAGGAATGAACTTTTTGACGCTTTTATATATGCGTCACGGTTTAAAAAATACGAATGAAAACTGGGATTCGTACAAAAAATTATTTTCCTGTTTCATGGGGGAATTTGAAAGCCCACGATCAGGATATATTTTGTATTCTTCTTTTAATACAGGGTGAACTAGGAAGAAATACAATTTTTTAAAGCTTGTCCAGTATATAATATACGTCACGTTTTGAAAATACGGATGAAAACCGGCATTCGTAAAATGGCTTATTTGCCTAGGCCTTGAAATGCAGCTTCCTTGTCATAGTTCCTTGCGTCCTACGTTAAATAATCGCAATGAAATTCTAGAATTTCGTCCATTTTTTTGAAAAATTGTTAGAAAATAGTTTAGGGTCTCAGAAAACCACATATCAGGAGTGTCATAAGTTGGCCATGAATTTAAAAGCTCAATAAGATGGGGATTTATTTATGTTTATTTTTTCGAAAACAGGGTGGACCAGAGATAAGATTCTAATTTACGCGTGTGTAAGAGGACACATTTTGAAATTACGAATGAAGACCGAAATTGAATACGATTTAATCATGATGATGATGCTTTTGAGAGTTTTCTCGAATCGTTAAAATGCAGCTTTCTAGTCCCAGTTCCTCGCGTCTTTAAAAAATAAATTTTATATGTTGCGAGAAAGTTATGGAATTTCGTTCTGCTAGTATTGCAAAAAAAATTTGACAAATATTCAGGATTACCGAAAACCGGAATCGGGACTCACACAATTTCATCAGGTGGTCCCGAATTGAAAAGCTCGTAAGATAAGGATGTTTTTTTTTTCGTCAATAGAGTGTGGACCAGAAAGCAATACCCTGCCTTTTTTACGTCTGTTTATTTAGGCCACGTTTGAAATAAAAATAAAAATCGGAATTCGCCCAATTTCTTGCCTGTTATGTATGAAAAAACTTTCCCCAGACGCCGAAATGCAGCTTTCTTGTCTCTATTCAGTGCGTCTATGGTGAAATAATCGCCACTAAATTCCTGAATTTTTTTTTCTGCAAAATTCTTGGAATTTTTTCTGCGTATATTGTATTAAAAAAAAAACTTTTAAAAGAATGATCGAGGGTCACTGAGAACCGCAATCGAGAGTCGTAAATTTCTGTAAGTTGGTCACGAACTCGATCCATAATACCTATTTTACCACGTTTTTATGAACTCACTTTCTTGTCTGTCTGTCTGTTTGTCCGGATCAAATTTTGAAACTCAAATTTCACTCACTTCCCGACTAGCTGTTGGGGACAACTGTCACCACAACACAAGAAAAGAGAAAGAAGCTGTGGATCAAAAGAATTATAAATAGAAACACAGAATCAGCCTGGGACAAGGCTGAGGATTCCTGGTAGAATCCCAACTTTAANTTGTCATCAGTTTCTAAGCTATCCTGAAAGTTTCAGCTTGCTAGCTAGTTGGGAAGTGAGCAAAATTTGAGTTGCAAAATTTGATCCGGACAAACAAACGCAGACAAGAAAGCGAGTTAATAAAAACGTGTTAATTAAAATGGCAATATAGCGCAGAAAGTTGTGAGGTTCTGGAATTTTTTTTTATTCAGATTTTTAAAACCATTTTTCAATTTACTGCATGATGATGAGTGAAAACTTTTTTGTTACTAATTGACTGCAGCAATTTATTTTTTTGCAACAGTTTTCTCTAGCCTCCAAAAATAATCCGTTCCAGGATTTTTTTGAAATATTTTTGCCGTTTCATCGCTATACAGTGTATAGACTAAACTTCCGATGAAAGAGAAATAATTTTCCATATTTTTTTTTCTGGTGCAGATCCATTTGGTGCACTGGGACTCCGAAAAGTACTCGAGCTTTGCGGAAGCCGCGAATGCAGATGGTGGACTAGCAGTACTTGGAGTTTTCATCACTGTGGGTGACCAGGCCCATGATGAGATCCAAAAGATTGTGGACGCTCTTGAACTCATTCCCAACAAAGACATGACCGAGAACTTGGCCAAGACTGTGGATCCTTTGAAGCTTCTTCCAGAGAGTCAGTATCAAGAGATCTGTTTTTATTTTTTCCGCCCCGGGTTGTATTTTTATTTTTATTTTTTCGTGTGGATACTTGGTAGCAAAAGTACTTGTCGGATGACGAGGAATGTTCCTTGTGTAAACTCATCGGTGATAGTTGATAGTGACGAGTATAAATTATTTCTCTTTTTTTTTTTATGGCAATCGTAATTTAAAGAGGGTCGTATCATTTTCTCCGGGGATTCTTGTCTTTCATGAGTCGAGTGAAAAATGAAACCCTGATTGGTTTCGCATGATCTTTAATTTTGTACAAACAAATATCGGATGATACGAGTATCATTAAAATTTAGATTGGTGTGATTTTTTTTTTTGGACGTAATTTTGAACTTCTGAAGGGGTCTGAATTTTTCAGAAGGTGAAAAAAAACTGATGACGCGTCATTTTTTCAGAGATTTATAATAAAAGCATGCACTAATAATTAATTTAGTCGATTTTTTAGGAGGCACGAGCCCTGATTTTGAAAAAAAAAATTAATGGTCCTGAATTGAATGGAACATAATCGTTGTTCCGAAATGCGTTCATGGTTTTTTTTTAAACACATTTGATATCATCGATCAGATGAAAGCATCCGCTTTTCCTCGTTTTGATACAGTATCACTGAAAAGAGTGAATGTTTTCAAATTTATATCGAAATGTATAATAATTAGTTCTCATTATTTTCCTCCTGCTCATGTTTTTTACTGTTGGTATGACCCCGATTGGATGAATTTTTTTTGGGATTTAATTATTTGTATTCACGATTGAATGTTTTGTAAATTGATTAAAAATGTTGTGTTACCTTTTACAGGCAAGGCTTTCTGGAATTATGAAGGATCTTTAACCACTCCACCCTGCTTGGAAACCGTCAATTGGATCGTTTTCAAGACACCGCTCACTGTTTCCAAGGAACAGGTAATTATTACATGATTCATTTCATGTCTCAAATCCGTAAATACGCTAATTATTGAGTGAAATGTATCCGTAGCTTTTGGAGTTTATGAATAAATTTATGCAGAAAAATAGTGATACTTTATAGAATACAGAATGAGAAAGTGTAAGTGTATGAGTGTAAGTTTCACATAAGCTCACTTGCGATATGTCTTGACTCCTGGAGATTTATTATTTATTGTCTTTCTTTTTCTGAAGTGAAATTGAATTCCATACGCCGCTGGAAATCAGTCCTTTTTGATTGGGGGTTTTTTTCTTACTAATTTAGAATATGTATTTTCCGAATCGATTGTCGTATGAAATTGATTTTATTTTACGAAAAGGGGTTCCAGAGTTTTATTCGAGCTTCGAAAGAAAGATTTTTGGGTACCCGAGGTTATAAAAGTTCAGATTCCTCCTAACCACTGATGGATCGAGAATGAGGTTCAAAGCAATTATTCCCATTCTAATTATTGAGGAATTTTGTTCCAAATGCTGCCCTGACCTCGACAGGTTTTTGCCGACCAATCAGAAATTTCAAGGCAGCCTATCAGTATTAGTATGAAGCGCAAAATATGCCAAGATCAAAGCACCTCCTTTATTTGAACGAGATTAAATTCACGATTTTGGACATCGTCATCGATACAATGTTTTGAATGAATCGGCTACAAATTTTTAGAACCTGCACGTCTTATTTCGAGTTAATTTTCACTGTCGGTTTTTATCGTCATTTCAATTTGGTTGAGAAAAATTCGATCATTGACTAGGGACTAAAAATTATTTCTATAATCCCGTCCACACGGAAAGAAAAAAACAGGAGCATTTGCAAAACTTGGGAATTAGCCCTCGTAATTTAGACAACTGTTTAGTCAAAAATTAATTCAAAATTCGATTATGAAAAAATCAGTTTGTTGTTCAAAAATCAATTTGATGCTTGGAATGCTATTGTCGTATACATTTCTTATTCAATTCCGGAAGAAAACAAGAATTTTGAACCAACTCTGGTTAAGGAAAAATCGTTTGTGCTAATATTAAATTGATTTTTAAATCTCGTTTTTATATATAATTTATCTGATTCGCTTCTGAAGATAAAACCCAGATTCATGTACCAAAACGCTTTATTATTGAGAACAAAGTTCATTCGAACACGCATTCGATTTTGAAATGCTGTGTTCATTTAAGTTTTCCTTTCGGCTCTTTCGAAAAAAAAACCCCGGATTTATGTTGAAACCCTCTTTATTAATCGAAAAGTTCAGCATTCTAATATGAATTCGATTTTGAAATGCTGCGTTCACATATTTTTCTTCGTCCCTGTCCAAAAAAAAAAACCAGATTTTTGTACCGATCTTTATTGTTATTTAGAAAACTGTTCCTTCTTTTATAGGATCGTGATTTTGAAGCACGGGTTTCATATTGTTTTCTTCTTTTCTTCAAAAAAAAAAACAGATTTCTGCATTCAGAGCTCTGAGAGCTTATGCTCCTGAAGAGGACAAACCCGGTGATGACGAATTCGGAGGTCAGGTTGTGCAAAACTTTCGACCCCCGATGCCACTTTGTGGACGAGTTGTTCGTGATTGCTGCTAATTAAGTACATGCGGAGATGAGGGGGTGAACCCACCCCCGATTCCGCAAAAACATTAATCAGGAACCTCTGGTTAATTTAAAAACAAAAGCCTTGCATCTTGGTGCTCCAGTAACTCTTAAGTTTTTTTTTTTATATATTAAGAACAACGATCAGGTTAGTCTTCCTTCTTCATCGAGGTATAGAAAAACAGAAATTGAGAGAAAGAGAGAAGAGGAAAAAAAATCGGGCTTGTATATATGATCCCGACTTCTATACGCGGTTAATTGTAAAGCTTAGGGCTGTGAGTCGGAAAACACGAAAAGCAAAACGTTTAGAAAAAATCTGTATACGAATAAGGAGAGAGGAAATTTTTTGGTTTTTTTTTTACTGTACTGTACTGTACCGCGAAAATCGATCCGTTCTTGATACGAAGTGAGCACCTCTTGTTTCCATCCCAGAGTCTATTTGTCATTCTTGCATTATTTATCAAGTATATTGATTGAGTCTTGTCTTGTCTTGCTTGGTTTGTTTGTTTGTTTGTTCATTGCCCTGCGTTTGATGTTGTTTCTTCTTCTTTTTTTTTAGATATTGTGTGTGGGGGGTTCTTTGGCTATTTCTTCTTTAAAATTGTTTGTGCATTGTGTTTTTATTTGTGGTCTTGCTTGGAATAAACGGGTGCAGCTCTTCTGTATCGAATTTTTGGTCATTCATTTTTCAAATCATTTTCCTCCAAACTCCACAGTGAGTTCTGTATTTATAATTTATTTGCGTGAGAGTTGACTTGCCATTTTAAAGTGTATATATGTTTATTTTCTGCTGATGTTGACTACATTTGATGCGTGGAGCAGAGATATGAAATTTTAAAATCTCTTGGAAATGATTTTTCTTGGGATGCATTTTTTTGTGTTTGACGTGCTATGAAGATTATTTGACCTTTGCAGCCCTTGTCACAATTGATCATGTTTGCAGAATTCGTGTTGAACTATGCTAGAGCTCAGCTTATTGTATCAATCAATATTTTTAAAATGTTTTTGCAATAGATTTAGTCCTTTTTTTTAATTATCTTTCAAGCTCAGTTTAGCAGTGTGTGAAAGAGCCCAGCTTGGACAAATTAAATATGGAACAGGTGGTACCTTGAAATTCAATCTCCTGAAATTTGATGGGCAAATTTTGAGGCAGGTTGACTTGCAATTCCTCTGCAAAAAAATCATGCATAATCTTGTAAAAAAACAGGAGTTCCCTCTCACTCACATTGCGAACATAGATTTTTGACAGTCTCCTCCACGTAGATCCCTGCAAATTTGAATGTCTGCAATGAAATACTGATTAGATTCATGTCAAAGTGGCTGGACCGAAAAATGATTTAAATTCTTCATCGCCCTTGTATATAAGCTACCGCGTTGTCACGTTGAAGCGTGGAAGATTACAGATATACTGACCTGGGTTGCGTGACGACCCATGAGGTCATGTGATGCACAAGACTCGTGAATATTTTAATCTAGGTGATTCGGGTGTTATATAGTGGGGTTGGGCCCTTTCCATTTATTTTTATTTTTCCTTCGCGAGTTGCTTTCTGCTTTTGTCTTTACAGTGAGACCCCAAGATGCAGCAGGCAAAATTTGTGCATAAAAAGTGTCCTGAAGTTGAAATTTCCCTAAGTCGAGTCTCATTTTCCCATAGACTTGCATTACATTATTTTAATTGGTGTTTTATGGAGGAAATATTCATCAGAATTCCATGAAAAAAATTGTCTGCCAATTGAAATTGATAAACTCAATAAGAACATTATTTGGAGCATTGAATGCTGTACAGTACATTGAAATGTTGGGATCTGTAAAAAAAAACATTCAAATCATATAGAGAGAAATACTGTATATTAAAAATACTGTACTGCAGTAGTCTGAGTGTTTGAGTTTTAATCCGAAAGGAAGGAGAGGATCCAAGTACTCTTATTCGTGGTACAGAAGGTTATTTCCGGATTCAAGTCCCAGCTACCAGACAATAATTTAAGGTCATCAAGTGCCCATGAAGTTACTGGACGTCATTACGATTTATTCCGTGTTTTCGGGTACATATCAAATGGAAAAACAAAATTTCTGAAATTGATGAAACTTATGGAGGAACATACGGGAAAAGCAGCCATAAGGTAATGATAATGTTCTCGGTGCATCCTGTATTAGCTCGCCAATTTCAATGAAAGGCCTTCGTTATATTTTTTCTTTCGCCACGTTTCTTTTCACGAGAATATTTTGGATTCGATAGAACCTGATGAATGATCCCAGCATGTATAGGGTTTCAATTATTCCCTTCCTCACCAGTATTGAACACGATAAGAACATCCATGCAATTTGGTTATTAAAGATTCCGCTTGAATATTAATATTTATTTTGCGCAGTACCTCACAGCATGTTGCTTTACTCAATAATTTCGAAGTGTTGCCTTCGTCCTTTGAGGAAAGACGCTATAAATTGAATGTTTAATTTTTTTTTGGAGTGTACTGGAGTTATTTTGTGAGGAAAATTATGCATGATTTCCCCCTAAAGAATGTGTCATGAATAAATTTGTGCCGACAGATTTTAAAAGCGAAGCATAGAAGCTTTGAGAGTCCGGTTATTTTTTTTAGTTGCAAGGAATTGAAACAAAAATTGTCTCAAATTTTTACTGTGGTTCAAGAGAATCCGCCGGTTTTTCTTTTCTTTTGTGTGGGCCTGTAAAATTCTATTCTTTTTATATTTTGATTAGTTTAGACTTTAGAGCATTTTGAGAAAAAGTTGTTTTTACTTAGATTTGAACGTCTCAAAATACTTTGATTTTTCAGAGAAGAGTTTGGCAGAATCTTGGATTCCTGAAAACGTGGCAGAACTTCTGAATATGATTGAATGAAATCGCGAAATTCTCCTTGAGACTCGCTCATTCCATGGTTTCATATTTTACATCTTGAAAAAAATTGATTTTTATTCAGTTCTATATATCATAAAATATTTTGAATTTTCAAATGAGTTCGACAGAATCTTGCATTTCGAAAAACTTTGCTCAAGTTCTGATTCTGAGTGTGCTTGAAGAAAATCTTCAAATTCTTCTTGGACCGAGCTTATATTTAAGGATTTTAGATGTTCCACCTCTAGAAAAATTATTCTGTTCTGCATGCCTCGAAATATATATGTAAATTTTTTTTGGAAAGAAGAAAAAAAAAGTTAGCCAGGATTTTTGGATTCCCGAAAACTTGGCAGAACTGAATAAATGCTTTATTGAAATTGCGAAATTCCTCTTAGGCTGCAGGTTTTCAGCTTTTCCAACTCGAAACAAATTATTTTTACTCAATTTTTAATGTCGCAAAATATTTTGATATTTCAAAAAAGTAGATGAGGTCGGCAGAATCCTTGGTTCCTGAAAACTTGGCAGAACTTTTGCGTGTGCTTGAAATAAAATCGCCAATTTGTCCTGTAGGTCCACGATTATTCCAGGATTTTAGATTTTTGTTTCAAGAAAAATTTATTTTTTCATCTTCGCATGTCTTGAAATATTTATTTTTTTATATTTCCAAAGCGGAAAGGTTGCAGATTCTGGTCAGTTCCTGAAAACTACGAAGACGATCGTCTTCCGTAGTCGTCTCCACGGTATCCAGTGGGTCCAGGTCCACGTGGTCTCCCTTTATTATTATTCCCGCCTGAATGACTGAAATCTGAATTGGACCGAAGATTTTCATAGTCCATTCTTTCGGGCATTTCGTGATTGTGGTCCGGAGGTCCTCTGGCATCATCCTCTCGATAATGATTCGGATATTCACGACCACCACCATCCATGTTATTATTATTGCTGCTGTGATGACCAGCAGATTCCATTCTTCCTGTTGGTCTTTTGTTCGTCAGCCTGTCCTTATTAGTCCTGGACTTTTGTTTCCGGTTGTAGGACTGACTTCGGTACTTATTCCACCGGTTTTCCGTTTCCTGTTCCGAGACAGGAATAGAATCGTTGAACCACTATATATGCTGCAGATATGTGACAAGGTTTTTCAAAATTCCAAGGGACTCTTGTGGAATGATCAGGGTAAATTTGAAAAAAAAAATTAAAAAAAAAACTCCACTCAAATATAATACTCTTCTGGAATGATTAAAAACCTTTCAAAAACTTAATTCAAGTATTATCATGAGGATCATCAAATGATGGGACTTCAATTCATTTATTTATTTTGGGTTTTAGGGATTAAGTGCATGGCATTTTTCCTAGGCTGATTTGCTATAGTTGCCTCTCATAGTTTTTGAAGTGCAGTGTATAATAGATTAAAATGTCTTTGGTTGAGGCTCATATTCAGTGAAGTGTCTGAAATTTTTTCATGGTTTATTTGCCAGTCAAATATTTTTTCTTTTGAAACACATTTTTTAAATTCTACAGATTTATGTTGTCTATTCCTCTACAAAATATTGTGTATATGAATGACCTAAAGCAATAAATCCTTATTCAGACATTTTTGTGCAGAAGAGGTTGTGATGAAAAGTATTCAAAATGAAACCATATTCAATATAAAGAGTGTTTCAGTGGGGTTACTTTGAAAAAAAATGTGAATTAAATGGGGCATCCAAAATGCAGTTTGTCACCTGCCAGCATCATTTGAAGAAAAAATGTACCCAAAGACATGATGACTAAGTTTATGAGGGTTATCAGTACATAATTTAACTCTTGGACAGCAGTGGGTTCTTTTCCATCACATGGCAGTTCAGGAATTTTTTTGCAGGCTCCTGTATTTTGGTTAGACCAAAGGTCAACAAAAAGCAGATTTGGCTGAGTGGCCAAAGTTGGGAAAAATCCCAAAAAAGAAATCCATTTTCCTGCTAATCCCCCAATATGCTAATCCTATGGCAGGAATAATGCAGAAAAAATGCCACCCAACAGTAACTTTTTTCCTTGCAAATTTTTCTGCAGGAATGCAAAACAAATTTGGAATTTTTCCCAAGTTTGGCTCTTCTAACCATTTTTGTTCTCCATTTTTTTCTACTCCTTGGAGCACAACATTTTGCAGATAAATGATAGCATTGCCGCCCAAGGGTTAAGGACAATAAGAGTAAAAGTCCATCTTTCACATATTCTGAAGAATGGACAGTAAACTTCCTGACAACAATGACATTCACTGAAGCCCTACCATAAGAACCTGGAGACATTTGAATTTTTGTTTTGGGAATTTCAAAAAACAAAATATATGAAAGAAAATGGTTAGTTCAGAGATATTTCAAGTTTATTTGACTAATTGCTGTTCCTTTCTCCTTCTCCATCTCCTGAAGGGCATGCAGTATATTTCTGGAAAACTATTGACTATAGCTCTACCATAATCTATCTTGAATCATTTGGGTTTTTGAGAATTGCAACAAAAAACCATGTCAAAGGAAAATGGTTAGTTTAGATCAGATTTTCAAAGTGTAATGTAGTCTTAAGACTCTTAACTTAGTGTGCCTCAACCCTTGGTCAGCACCAGTCCAAAGAAGTTTTTTGATGGTCTGCAGGCAATTTTCCTCAGGATAATAAATTTATCAAAAGTAGCAATGAAGTCTGTTATCTTTATTTGAAAGTTTGGACAGACAAAATGGCAGTTGGAATTATCTGATGAAAAATAAAAATTGGCTTTTCTCCTCATAACGCTTCACACAAATTTTCACCAGCTGATTCAACTTATTCTAATTTTTCATTCTGAGAAACCTCCTTAT